TTGCATAATATATGGCCTTCCTTAGTCTTATTGGATTCCTGGTTGCAATACAAAGTAAAACTGCTTGCAATTTACCTATAATGTAAAATGAAATGCATATCAGGGAGCAGGTTTACCTGGCAAAGGCCTTATATTTCTTTCTATCCAGTTCAGAGATAGCTATACAGTGAAGCACTCTGGCAGGGTAGAAAATCTGATTTTTTTTTTTTTTTTCTGCTGAAGTTCAGTAATGCATACAGGTCCCCTCTCCATCCGTGTGACTGGACACAGTGGCGTAGCCAGAACCAGGGGCAAGGCAAGTAATTTGCACCCCCTAACCTGTGGACTTTTAGCACTTTCCTGTGGAAGCAAAAGAGTTCCTCCACTTACAGCCTTAGCCTCTGATTGGCTGTCTGCAGCCTTTTATTATTGGTTGAATCTGAGATATCTGACTACAGCAAAGAAATATCTTCTCTGATTCAAACATTAATAAAAGGCTGCAGGCAGCCAATCAGAGGCTCAGGCCATAAACAACAAGGAACCCATATATACAGCAGAACAGGCAGCCAATAATAAACCCCGACATAAGGTAGAGGAAATTATAGTAGAGACACCCAGGGATGGGAGGAGGGGAGGGGTGTCACTTCTTTACTCATAGTTTTTTATCCCTTCGCCTGGAGCCATGGAGGTTACGGGGGCTCAGGCTGTGAATGGGAAGGACTGGAGCCCTTAATAATCTGTCTCAGCAGAGCAGCCACCCGTTAACCTCTATGCAAGTTATGTAGGCATTATTGCCTGGCTGCTCTGCTGTGAGATTAGTAAGGGCTCCTCGTTATTCACAGCCCTTAGCCTCAGACTGGTTGCAGGCAGCCAATAAGGGTACTACTGACGTTACATTGGGGTTATTGGCTGGCAACTATGCTGTAAGCAAGGAGACCCCCCCCCCCACTACCAGGGGGGCAGGAGGGGTAAAAGCTGTGGGCCATATGGATCATTACCTCCCCCCACACAAGGTGTCCCCCAGTCCCCCCTCCTGTGTTCTCCCAGCCAGGCAGGAAATATGGTGCAGGAACAGCAGCCCTTGTACTTACACACGGGCATTCTGTGTAGTCCTGAGTGCCGTGATCAGGTTTCCTCCACCTGCTGTGTGTGACAAGCTGAGATCCCGAGGTCACTAGCAGCCCTCCTCCCCCCGCCCCTTCCTCCTCCTCCCTTGCTGTCGGCAGCCCATGGCCCAGGGAAGATAGACAGAAAGGGAAACTTGATGCCCTAGCGCAGTGGTGGGCAACCTTTTTTTTCAACTGAGCCAAATCTCGCCAAAACCACAATTGAAATTTATTTTGAGAGCCACATTTTTAAAACTGAAAATACATAGGATGGTACACTGTTTTTAGTTTCAATAAGTTTTTATAGTAATTCATCCCCCATATAGTAATTCATCCCCCATAGAGTAATTCATCCCCCATATAGTAATTCATCCCCCATATTAATTCACCCCCCATATAGTAATTCATCCCCCATATAGTAATTCATCCCCCATATAGTAATTCATCCCCCATATAGTAATTCATCCCCCATATAGTAATTCATCCCCCCATATAGTAATTCATCCCCCATAGTAATTCCTCCCCCATATAGTAATTCATCCCCCATAGTAATACATCCCCATATAGTAATTCATCCCCCATATAGTAATGCATCCCCCATAGTAATTCATCCCCCATATAGTAATTCATCCCCCATATTAATTCATCCCTCATATAGTAGTAGTAAGTAAGTAGCAAGTAGTAAGTCAAGTCCCTCCTGTGTCAATTCACTTACCTTTCTCCGCGCGTTCCTCTCGCCGTGCTCCCCGCGCCGTTCCGGTCTTCAGGGCGGACTGTGAGAGGAGCCTAGCTCCCCTCACGTTCGTCACGCTGCCCCGCCTACACACATCCTGACAGCCAATCACTAGCTATCAGGATGTGAGTGGCAGCGAGACTGGCCAATCATTGCTGGGCTAGCTGCAGAGTCCTCGGCCACCCGAGAGGAGGGAGGGAGGGGAGCGGCCGCCCGAGAGGAGGGAGGGGAGGGGAGGGGAGCGAGCGCCCGGCACACAGAAGAGCCGCATTAAAATGTGTAAAGAGCCGCATGTGGCTCGCGAGCCGCGGCTTGCCGACCACTGCCCTAGCGCATCTGTACGGAGTTCAGCTCTGCTCACATGCTTTCTGACAGGTTTTTCTCTCTCCTGGCAGAGGTAAGAGGGCCACTGATGTCAGCACCCAGTCCCATTGACATCAGTGGATCTCACACGGTCTGGCTTTTCATTGCACACACTCCAGCTCTTCTTCCATAGACCACAATGGGGTCCGGCTGGGGCACTGAACTCTCACCCCTCTAAATGCTGCTCCCGGGGTGATGGTACCGGCTGCCGCCCCCCATGCTACACCACTGACTGAACAACAGAGAAGCGGCAGATGGGTGAGCTCATCTGAATGCTCTCTCCTCGTCTTAGTATACCCTTTGCCCTGCAGCACAACTGACTGTCACAGTCAACTAACACATTAAAAAAGGATGTATCAGGACTGGTTCACACTAGCTAAACAAGAAAACTTTCTGTTTTTCTGTGTGTGCCTTGAATACATTTTTCTGTGCTAAAAAATGCTACCGCAGAAAACCACCGTTGAACGCAGCAAAACTCTAAAAATCTTGCATTTTTAACACAACTCTATATACCGCTAACACACTACCGGTGTTTTTAAAATGCCCGAGTGTATTAGGCCTTAACATACAATGCAAGAAGCCCAGCTTCTAAACCTTTAACCCTTTGTTAGAACAGACAGTGTTCAAATTTAGTTCACAACTGATAATGAATAATTCCAGGCGTGGGTACCCTATACATAATTACATTGGTCCAGTTTGGACCATTGTAACTATGTATATACACACCATACCTGGTGGATGCTCTTGGAAGCTGGAAGTCGAAGTAAAACACCGCTATCTCTACTTGCTGCCAGGTCCCGTGCTGAGTGGCTGCACTCCTGCTTACTGAACACTGGAGGCTGGCTGACCAGAATGGGCACCATTTAGAGATTGCTTTACATCTTCTGAAAGAATGCAAAATGTTCTCTGATTGGATGAGGTTGAGAGTGTGACATCATAGGTGTTATCCCAACTGGGCTGCAAAAGTGGAAATACACCTTAGGATATCTTCAAGATCAAAACCTTAGCCCTTTTATTAATGTTTCATATTCCCATTGCTTCCTTTGAGACTTTATATAAGCATTTTTTTTTATTTCTCTTAGTATTATTATACTTTATTATTATTATGCAGGACTTATATAGTGCCGACAGTTTGCTCAGCGCTTTACATTATGGAGGGAGACAATACAGTAACAATACAGTTCAATACAAGAGGGATTAGAGGGCCCTGCTCTTTGGAGCTTTCAATCTAGGAGGGAGGGGATAGTGGTACAAGAGGTAATTAGCTGTGGGGGATGGAGTGGTTGGGGGAGTACCAGTAGTTAGTCGGGGTAGGCTTCCCTGAAGAGATGAGTTTTCAGTGTGCGCCTAAAAGTGAGCAGAGTAGGCGATAGCCTGGGGTAGGGAGTTCCAGAGGATGGGTGAAGCCCGTGAGAAATCGTGGAGACGACCATGGGAGGAGGAGACAAGGGAGCTAGATAGTAGGAGGTCTTGCGAGGAGTGGAGAGTACGTTTGGGTGGTATTTAGAGACAAGGTCATGATGTAATTAGGGGCAGTGTTATGAACGCTTTATACGTCAGTGTTAGTGTTTTGAATTTTATCCGCTGGGCAATTGGAAGCCAGTGGAGGGATTGGCAGAGAGGGGTGGCAGATACAGAGCGGTTAGTAAGGTGAATGAGTCTGGCAGCAGCATTCATGATGGACTGGAGTGGGGATAGCCTGCAATGAGGTAGGCCAGTGAGGAGGGAGTTACAATAGTCGAGGCGTGATATAATAAGGGAGTGAATGAGTTGCTTAGTGGTTTCAGAGGTTAGGAACGGTCGTATCTTGGAGATGTTGTGGAGGTGAAGTCTACATGAGTTTGTCAGCGATTGAACCTGGGGCTGAAAGGACAGACTGGAGTCTAGGATTACACCTAGTACCCTGGCGTGAGGGGTGGGACTGATGGTAGTGTTGTTGATTTTGATGGAGAAGTCGGGGGGGGGGGGGGGGACACGGGCTGGGGGGAATACTAAAAGCTCAGTTTTGGAAAGGTTGAGTTTGAGGAAGTGGAGGAGACATCCATGCCGATATGTCACTTAGTAGGCTGGTGATGTGATTGGAGACTAAGGGGGTGAGGTGAGGGGTAGAGAGATAGATTTGTGTGTCGTCGGCGTAGAGATGGTAGTTGAAGCCGTGGGAGTGTATCAATTGGCTAAGGGAGGAGGTATAGATGGAGAAGAGGAGGGGTCCGAGGACAGAGCCTTGAGGGACCCCAACAGAGAGAGGGAGTGAAGGGGAGGGTGGCAGCGTTATAGGTAACACTGAAGGAGCGCTGCGATAGATAGAGGAGAACCAGGAGAGAGCGGAGTCACTGAGGCCAAGAGAGTGCAGTTTTTTGAGGAGGAGGGGGTGGTGAACCGTGTCAAAAGCCGTAGAGAGGTCAAGTAGTAGGAGTATAGTATAGTGGCCGTTGGTTTTGGCGGTTAGTAGGTCATTGGTGAGTTTGAGTAGGGCAGTTTCGGTGGAGTGTAAGGGGCGGAAGCTGGACTGTAAAGGGTCGAGAAGGTTGTTTTCGGTGAGATGGAAGCTTAGGCGATTGTAGACTAAGTGTTCTAGGAGTTTAGAGGTATTTATTCATATTGCATTTTTTTTTTTTTTTTTTATAAATCCTTGCTTCTTCCCCTTTCCCTTTTGTTCAAACAAAACATTTAGCCTGTTGGGCAATTAAATAGTAATATAGTCTATGTAATAAATATACTGTTTACAGATTAAGCTGCATGTTACAATACTGCACTACCTCCCAGTCTAAAGGAAGAACACAGACCTCAGACACATTAATAGCGTAAATAATAAATACCTTTAATCAGATCAGCCAAGTTATTCTGCTCCACGTTTTTCTTTGCATAATTGAAGCAGATGTCATCCACTTCGGTTGCGAGGAAATACCAGCCGTTTAGCGTAGCCCCCAGCAATGGATAGATGCAGGATGCTCCAGTACCTGTGAACAACAGTAGACCTAAGACACAAAACCAGTATGGGCACATAAGCCAGTATAACATACCAGAAATTAAACTGTGCAGTTAGCATAAAGAGAAACCATTGTTTTTTTTTTCTTTTTTTGGATTTAGATGCAATTAGCCTCCAGTCAAATGATTTATTTTATACTGTCAAAACAAAAGTACAGTAAAAAGGCAGGTGTATAACAAAATTTTTTTATGCAAGTCACATTAATAGAACCCGAACACAATAAAAACGGACATAGACCCATGGGGTCCTAACAGTATAACCATAAGCTCCGCAATACCGCACGGTAACCATTTACAAAGCACACAGAGCAATGTCAGCATACATACTTACAAGGTTATGGTTGGGTAGGAGCCAAAAGGAAGGAAGTAGGGAAAGAAAAGAGGAAGTAAAATCAGAAATCTAGGAGAACGTCATCTACCCATATCTCCAATTTGAGGATAAATGATAAAGACTGCTTCACCTTAAAAGCTAAGTGAAAGTAGTCCTAAAACAGGCAAATTACGGAGTCAATTCCCACACTTCAACCCATTCTGCCAAGATATTCGTTAATTTTGTTGGACAGTTACGTCCCAAACACATTCGTTTATACAGTGGTAGGGCAACATTTGCCATGGTCTGCCACATCTGCCGAGTTGGGGGGTTGGGCTTTTTCCACTGGAGTAAAATCATTTTTCTGGCATAGTACACTGTATAAAATACAGGGGGGTTAATTTACTAAAGGCAAATAGTCTGTGCACTGCAAGAGCAGTTGCTCTAGATCTGAGGGGAAGCTCTGAAATGAGGGGAAGCTCTGCTGATTTCTATTATCTAATCATGTGCAAGCAAAAATGCAGTTATTTTTATTTTCCTTGCATGTGATTGGGTATGCTTTGCAAAGTGAAAGTTAACCTCATTTACTAAGCTCCGGAGCAACTGCTCTTGCAGTGCACAGTATATTTGCCTTTAGTAAATCAATCCCAAGGAGTTTCTTATGATGGGTAGCATCTATAGTGTCACACATTCCCAGCAGTAAGAGGAGGGGGTCTCTAGCAATCTTCACTTTACCCACTAAGTTGATATCCTCTACCATCATACACCAGAACTCTCAAATACACGTGCAGGACCATAAAATATGTACAAAAGTACCAATGTCACAGTGGCATTTAGTACTTTTGTACATATTTTACCATTTATCATTTTCTTTCCACTTCACAATTATGTGCCACTTTGTGTTGGTCAATCACATAAAATCCCAATAAAATACATTCATGTTTTTGGTTGTAACATGACAAAATGTGAAAAATTTCAAGGGGTATGAATACTTTTTCAAGGCACGGTATGCGTGCAAAATCTCAAGACTGGAGCTGGTTGTCAACTAGCAAAGTGTGGAGGAGCAGGGCTGAAGATCTAAATTCCATCTTCAAGAGTCAGTAAAGAAAAGCAGAAGGTGTTCTTACCATTCAGTATTCACTACTGCTTCTTATAATTGTGAGTGTGCACACTATTTCATGTGCAGTTGTACAGTGGATATAAAAAGTCTACACACACGTTAAAATGTCAGGTTTCTGTGATGTAAAAAAAATGAGACAGATAAATTATTTCAGAGCTTTTTCTACCTTTAATGTAACCTACAAACTGTACAACTCAGTTGAACAACAAACAAATCTTTTAGGTGAAAGGAAGTAAAATAAGAAAACTAAAATAATATGGTTGCATAAGTGTGCACACCCTTAAACTAATACTTTTTTGAAGCACCTTTTATATTTATTCCAGCACTCAGTCTTTTGGGGTATGAGTCTATCAGCATGGCACATCTTGACTTGGCAATATTTGCCCACTCTTCCTTGCAAAAACACTCCAAATCTGTCAGATTGCGAGGGCGTCTCCTGTGCACAGCCCTCTTCAGATCTTCCCACAGATTTTCAATTGGATTGAGGTCTGGGCTGTGCCTGGGCCATTCCAAAACTTTAATCTTCTGGTGAAGTCATTCCTTTATTGATTTGGATGTATGCTTTGGGTCACTGTCCTGCTGAAAGATGAAGTTCCTCTTCATGTTCAGATTTCTAGCAAAAGCCTGAAGGTTTTGTCAGTATTGATTGGTATTTGGAACTGTTCATAATTCCCTCTACCTGTACTAAGGCCCCAGTTCCAGCTAAAGAAGAACAGCCCCAAAGCATGATGCTGCCACCACCACGCTTCACTGTGGGTATGGTGTTTTTTTGGTGATGTGCAGTGTTGTTTTTGCACCAAACATATCTTTTGGAATTATGGCCAAAACGTTCAGCCTTGGTTTCATCAGAAACACATTTTCCCACAAGCTTTCAGGAGACTTCAGATGTGTTTTTGAAAAATTTAGCTGGGCTTGGATGTTTTTCTTCATAAGAAAAGGCTTCTGTCTTGCCACTCTACCCCATAGCCCAGACATTTGAAGAATATGGGAGATTGTTGCCACACAGCCAGTACTTGCCAGATATTCCTGCAACTCCTTTAATGTTGCTGTAGGCCTCTTGGCAGCCTCCTAGACCAGTTTTCTTCTCGTCTTTTCATCAATTTTGGAGGGACGTCCAGTTTTTGGTAATGTCTCTGTTGTGCCATATTTTCTCCACTTGATGATGACGGTGGTCACTGTGTTTCATGGTATATCTAATGCCTTGGAAATTCTCAGACTGATAACTTTTAACAATAAGATCCCTCTGATGCTTTGGAATCTCTCTGTGGACCATGGCTTTTACTGTAGGATGCTACTAAGAAAATGTCAGGAAAGACCTACTAGAACAGCTGAACTTTATTTGGGGTTTATCAGAGGCACTTTAAATGATGGTGTGTACTGACTCCAATTTAACATGATTTTGAATGTGATTGCTTAATTATGAACACAGCTACAGCCTCAGTTATAAGAGGGTGTGCACACTTAAGCAACCACATTATTTTAGGTGTTTATGTTTACTCCCCCCCTAAAAGTTTTCAGTTTGTTTTTCAATTGAGTTGTACAGTTTACAGGTCACATTAAAAGATGGAAAAAATTCTGAAATGATTTACCTTTGTCTAATTTTTTTATATCACAGAAACCTGACATTTTAACAGGGGTGTGTAGACTCTTTATATCCACTGTACTTATTATTCCTAGCACCAAGTGTTTGTTTTCTATATGTTTACGTGCCCAGTCCAGTGCTGTTCACCTAACGCTGCTGGTTTAACATTAACAATATTTTTTTTTACTATACACTAAACTTTGGTTCAACTCTCCACAACAGTCCCAGTTTCTCATGTGGTCCCTTGAGAAAATGTATTGCCCACCCCTGCTGAAACTGCTACATCTGCAGGACAGCTCGTGTTGAAAAACAACAGACTTACTGGCTGAACCACCAGTTGAAAATGATGGAAAGGAAGCCTAAAAAAGAGAAGAAAAAAAAATGCAACCATCACATCTAAGAATTGAGAAGCTGCAATATAATAAAAGCTTGCTTTGGGTTTAATACCACTTTAAAGCTGAACTCTAGTCATCACTCAGTTTAAAAAGAATCCAACCTAAATGCCCAAAGTAATCACTTAAATCCATGGTCACATGTGGTGTGAGGTCCCAAATCCTCTATCTATAGTCAGGTCCATAAATATTGGGACATGGACACAATTCTAACATTTTTGGCTCTATACACCACCACAGTGGATTTGAAATGAAACAAACAAGATGTGCTTTAACTGCAGACTGTCAGCTTTAATTTGAGGGTATTTACATCCAAATCAGGTGAACGGTGTAGGAATTACAACAGTTTGCATATGTGCCTCCCACTTGTTAAGGGACCAAAAGTAATGGGACAGAATAATAATCATATATCAAACTTTCACTTTTTAATACTTGGTTGCAAATCCTTTGCAGTCAATTACAGCCTGAAGTCTGGAACGCATAGACATCACCAGACGATGGGTTTCATCCCTGGTGATGCTCTGCCAGGCCTCTACTGCAACTGTCTTCAGTTCCTGCTTGTTCTTGGTGCATTTTCACTTCAGTTTTGTCTTCAGCAAGTGAAATGCATGCTCAATCAGATTCAGGTCAGGTGATTGACTTGGCCATTGCATAACATTCCACTTCTTTCCCTTAAAAAAACTCTTTGGTTGCTTTTGCAGTATGCTTTGGGTCATTGTCCATCTGCACTGTGAAGCGGCGTCCAATGAGTTCTGAAGCATTTGGCTGAATATCAGCAGATAATATTGCCCAAAACACTTCAGAATTCATCCGGCTGCTTTTGTCAGCAGTCACATCATCAATAAATACAAGAGAACCAGTTCCACTGGCAGCCATACATGCCCACGCCATGACACTACCACCACCATGCTTCACTGATGAGGCGGTATGCTTAGGATCATGAGCAGTTCCTTTCCTTCTCCATACTCTTCTCTTCCCATCACTCTGGTACAAGTTGATATTGGTCTCATCTGTCCATAGGATGTTGTTCCAGAACTGTGAAGGCTTTTTTTAGATGTCATTTGGCAAACTCTAATCTGACCTTCTTGTTTTTGAGGCTCACCAATGGTTTACATCTTGTGGTGAACCCTCTGTATTCACTCTGGTGAAGTCTTCTCTTGATTGTTGACTTTGACACACATACACCTACCTCCTGAAGAGTGTTCTTGATCTGGCCAACTGTTGTGAAGGGTGTTTGCTTCACCAGGGAAAGAATTCTTCGGTCATCCACCACAGTTGTTTTCTGTGGTCTTCCGGGTCTTATGGTGTTGCTGAGCTCACCGGTGCGTTCCTTCTTTTTAAGAATGTTCCAAACAGTTGTTTTGGCCACGCCTAATGTTTTTGCTATCTCTCTGATGGGTTTGTTTTGTTTTTTCAGCCTAATGATGGCTTGCTTCATTGATAGTGACAGCTCTTTGGATATCATCTTGAGAGTTGACAGCAACAGATTCCAAATGAAAATAGCACACTTGAAATGAACTCTGGACCTTTTATCTGCTCATTGTAATTGGGATAATGAGGGAATAACACACAACTGGCCATGGAACAGCTGAGAAGCCAATTGTCCCATTACTT